GTATGGATCACTTGGGTTGTTACCAACATCTGGTGAAAATTTCATGTCATTAGCACCTCTAGTAATATATTTACTGAGAAAAATGGTGACATGTTCATTACTTATTTTACCCGCTGTACTCTGCTGTATAAAAGCAGGGTAGTAAAACATGGTAATGCAATCAAAGCTGTGTATTTACCAAAAACAGGGAGTTGTTTTGGAGGGATTCTTTGCTCTAATTGGTTTCTCTCAACAAATGGTGAAGTTGCACCAACAATGCTGACAGATGTGGTGGGACCAGACCACTCAGGACTCATGTGATTTGGAAGGAGACACTATCCTGTGTGTGATGTCACCTCTGGGTTATGTGGCACAATCTAACTTTATAGTTTGAGCCTCAGCATTCAAAGCAGTTCAGGGACCTCTGATGACATGTGAAAACAGGCTGGAGGAGAAAAGAAATCAAAGTCCTGGGTGGCACATGTGTATGTGTATTAAAGGTCTGTTTGCATTGATTGGAAACCTGTTTGATATTTAAACCTAATTTTAGGATTTCTGTTTAGTTGTCTAACAGCAGACAGCGAGGATCAGTATGGGACATTCGCAGTCATAACACTGGACATAAACCAGGTTATATTACAAGTCATGCTTCAGTAAAATGTAGAGAACCGTTTTTAGAAAATTTATAATACCCTCTATTGGGGAAAAGTCGCATCTTTTGTTACACTGGTCAATTTAATTAGATGTAGAAGCTTTCATAAAGCAGAGGAAGAGCAGCATATGAGCACTGAAGCGTATGAGTTCTTTACCAGATAACATCAGCAGGATTAATAATTTGTATCTACAGCATTGGTTGCATGCAATCAAAGAAATCCTGTATATATTGTGAATATAAAAATATTTGCTTGTTAAGAGAAAAAGAATTAGCACTCCTTGAAGGAATGCGTATTACCTGCCACCTTTCACAATAAAGTTTTAGGATCATCTAACATGAAATAAAGAAGTTCTAGACATTTTAGTTTAGTCTTAGAAATAAACTTATTCAGTAAAATATCTAAAATTCATAAAAGGTACAAAAGTTTAACACGTAAATCCTATCTGTGTTTTGAAAATTTCATTGAAATACATACAGTAGTTCATGGGCTAATTTGCTAACACATAAATACAGTTAACTCCAGTAGTTCATAGGTATTGTCAAAGTTTTAAGCAGGTTAATCAGTTATAAAGTCAACCAAGTGATCATTAAAATCTATTTAGTGTTTACTTATGAGTTCTTTGGTATTTTTTTTTTTGTTTTAAAATGTACAACTCTCTGATGACCAAAGAAACGAATAGTTTGTTGGCTCATAACAAACTCTATTGCCTGTAACCAAAACCAGGTAATGCATCAGTTAAAAAGTCTAGACAGTAAATTCGGTTTATATTTGTCTACAAAGACTTCAAGCTCGGTTGAAGATGGACAACAAAAATCAGCTGACATTCACCTGCTTGATTAGTCAAGTGTTGTACATGAAACAGTCTACATGATAAAATACAGAGGGGCTTATTTTGGTGTTATTTTTATCTTTTTATTTTGTGCTTAAATCGGTCTTTGTGTCATTTGCTGTTTTAGGCAAGAGTGTGTCTCTATGGAGGAAAATCCTCAGGTGTTCTTCTGCTGCTGCGAGGGGAACTACTGCAACGAGCGATTCACTCACCTTCCTGACATGATTGGCAGTGGGAACCGAGGTAGGTGGCAAATGCATCCTACACACTTTACATACTTTTTCTCCCCTGATTAGTGGAGCGCTCCTTAACACAATTTTTCCATCTTGCAATCGTGGTTAAGAAAGAATCCTCAGTCTTAGGCGGATGATGACCTGACGCTGTATGTTGTTAGTATGTACAGCTCAAGTTTTTGGTTTCTTTATCAATCTCTGCTCGTTACATTTTAATTATCACAATTTGAGGGTAATGTTTTAAAATGTTAAAGTTCAATCTTAAAAACTAATGTGTGTTGGTTTGATGAGACCGTTTTAGAATCCTGCATGTTGGAGTCCAGGAAGGGCGTCCGATGTAAAACAATCACCAAATCTTTCATGAGAGTGTGCTCGCTGTGGGTGACCCCTGCAGAAGGGAGCAGTGGAAAAAAAACCCTAACAGCTTTTTTAGGGTTAGAGCTGTTGTTAGGTGTCACCTCTAAGCATCAGGTGATTACCTGGAACTGTCCCAGTGTGACTGAGGGTAACTCTAGACGAGAGCTGTGACGTACTCCGATTAAATGACCGTATCCAAGAACGAAAAATTAAGGTTCATTAATTTTTAATGTTGTTACTTTATTTAACGTTTAAAACAATAAAACAAGAGAGTGCTGAATGCTTTGGCAGGTGACCAGGATGGGAAGAGACTTTTTAAAAACATGTAAAATCTGGTTAAATTGAGTGCATTTGAAGAATTAATGTGTTTGTTGGAATTGGCTTTTCCTGCAAGAGATACAAGAGCTGCTATGGGAATTGTAGGGTATTTTTATCTTTATTTTGCCATTAAAAGATGACCTTTATTTCCAGTTTATTTAGTGGAAGTTGGAAGCAAAGAGAAAATGTAAAGCAAGACTTGATATTTTACAGTTAATAGCTGAACAGCTATCATTCTCATATTTTAATTTCCCATGTGTAAGAGTTACTGCAACGTTACTGATGGGCGGTGTTTAAAAGGAGACTTTCTAAAATTTCTTTTCATTTAAGTTTTAATTACTTAAATAAATAAAACATTGTGGTAACGCAGAGAAAAAGGCCCAGTAATGTAACTGGGCGTCACTGTTGTGGGAGTATCCAAGTTTGTATTGTAAATATTTCACAATAAACACTTTATTTTTCATTCAGCCAGACCTCAGAAAAATGATCTTGAATGCTTTTTAGTATAAGTTTTTGGAAAGTTTTGGTCCTTTCTACGGGACATAGATTTTTTTAAATTAATTAATTAATTTTTTGCCTTTTTAATATGTTATTATTCACGCTGTTGAGTCTTCAAATCAAACGTGAAACCAATTAACCCACATTTTAGTCACATGTTGATTTTGTTCGATTTTCTTTGGTTGCCTGTTTTAATGTAAAAAAAAAACATATTTACCTTTTTATCTATGGTCCTGGACAAAAAGGTGATAAAAATATAAGCTTTAATTTGTTTCAACAGGCTGTCTGGACTAAGGTTGAGCAATCTCAGTAAAATCTGTCCTCATTTAAAACCTGGTCTTGCTGCCTTTTGAGGGACACCTGTAAAGCTGCTTAAATCTCACAGGTCATACAGGTGACCTGCTACATTTAAATCTGTTCCTCCTCCAACAGTAAAAATTCGTCCCCCTCCCCGCGTGCCGTCTCTCCTCAATGTGCTGGTGTACTCCCTGCTGCCGCTGTGTGTGCTGTCCTTGGCTCTCATCCTGGCCCTGTGGATGTATCGTCACCGCAAGCCTCCCTACGGTCACGTGGACCTGAGCGAGGTGAGGCGAACAAAACACTGGAATGTCTAAAGAGACCACATATGTGACCCATCATATCAAAGTCAAATGTGGTCAAAATGACCTAATTACTTTTTCAGATTTCCGGCTTTAAAAGCTACATTTTGATACCTGGATCATTCTGATATCTTAATTAAATCCATATATATGACTTAATTTGTCTTGTTGGTTACAATAATACATAAATATTTGGTCTGAATCCAAATTTTATGTAATTTTAATGAAGAATTTTCGATGTCCTTATAAAGAGGAAACCTCAAATTATATTTGAATATTGACATTTCCCAGCTGAAAAGAAACAAACGTTGCTAGCTAACATGGAAAATCTCAAAATTTTAAGGAATTTTTCCTCAAAATCATTTTCTTTGTTGCTACTGCTTAAAGAAGGGCTTCAAAATTTTGTTTTATGATTATATTTCAGACAGTTCATTCAAATGATACATTGTTAAGGCGTTTATTCATATGTTTTGACAAAATACAATTTTTGTTTTAATGTTTTAATCAACACACTATATTTGCCTATTTCTCCATACCACTTTTAGACTTAATCCTCGTTTTGATGTGATGGGTCACATATTCAGTCCGACTCTATGAAGAGTTTAATTTAGTCATGTTTAGCTGTGGTAATGAAGGTAAGAATTTGTTCTGTTCATTCAGGATCCTGGACCTGTTCCTCCTTCCCCTTTGGTGGGTCTGAAGCCACTGCAGCTGCTGGAAATCAAAGCTAGGGGGCGCTTCGGTTGCGTTTGGAAGGCTCAGTTAATGAGCGAATATGTTGCTGTAAAAATCTTCCCTGTTCAGGTTTGTGAAGATCTATTCAGTTTGTGTTGTTTGTAGATGTAAATACCAGCACTGCCACAGGATTTTATTTCTCATTCAAAAAAAAAAAAAAAAACTAACTCAGGGCTGTTAACAAACATTATCTGTAGCACTGTAGATTCTTTCCACCCTCCACTTTCCCACGATCCGCTGAGGTGTGCTCGTAACTCTTTGCTTTGTGTTCACAGGATAAGCAGTCGTGGCAAAATGAGCGGGACATCTTCATGTCTGCAGGGATGAGACATGAAAACCTCCTGCGCTACATAGCTGCGGAGAAGCACGGAACCAACCTGGAAACAGAGCTGTGGCTTATCACAGAATTTCACGAGAGGGTGAGACGACTTCTGCACACATACAGGAAATACAACAGACTCACACAGGCTTCAGAAAACAGAAGAGCCAGACATTTTCCAGCTCTTAATTACCTGCAAAATGAGCAAAACAAAGTGTAAATTTGTATTTGATGCCAGATATTGCATGTGAAGATTTTGTTTTCCCAAAAACTGCAACTATAAACACATTTTTAGCTGTCTTGTTCATTAAATAGGGGGTTAAATCTCTAATAGCTATGATTAAAATGAGGCATTAACGTTTATTGGATGGTTTTACTCCTGGCAGCAGCACCAGTAAATCTGCTTCCACTCGTCTCCTCGCCATCCTTGCATTCATTGCTGCTTCTCGAGTGTTTATTTCTTAAATTTTGAATTGTGCGTTCAACATTTCTGCCAGTCAAATTGAAGCAGTGCCTGTCCCTGCTTCTCCTTGGCTCCAGAAAGCAGTCTTTCTGCGAGGCTACAGTTCGTCGGCTCACATTTTGGAGGCCGAATCGAAGCGGCGCTCGTGAGAAATGGATTAAGAATTCCTGCGTAGGTGTTAATCCGCCTCCCTTAACCTTTGGTGGGTTTTGTGTGCGAGCAGGGCTCATTGACAGACCACCTGAAGGGTAACACTGTGACCTGGACTGAGCTGTGTCACATAGCAGAGACCATGGCCCGTGGCTTGGCCTACCTCCATGAAGACATTCCCAGCTACAAGGGGGAGGGGCCTAAACCTACTATTGCACACAGGTAAGAGAAGGTGGCAGCGCACAACACTGCCTCACTCTGGTGCATTTCTGTTTGTTGTGACTTTACAACTATTTCTTTTTTATTTTTTTGTCAGTTATACGTGTCAAAGTACCTTTACTACACACTGTTTAGCACACAACGGCATTACCCTTTTCTTAGGAATATCAAAAGAGACATTTAGAATATCAGTTAAACAGCTGCAGAGTGCTGTGTCCACGTCTGCTGCCATGCTTTGGCTTATTTTGAAAAAGAAAAGAAAGCGAAAAGTCTGTTTAGTTTGGAGCAATGACTTTTTTACTCAGGTACCGAAAGTTTTCACTGAATGGTTTGATGTAAATTGGAGCTCCGTTGCGCCGACTTAATCTGGTTTCTTTTCATCTTAAAAATCCAAAGGTTGCTTTTTTTCTCCTCCAGATCAGTCATTTTCCTCTAGCTGTGCTTGAATTAATAGTTTCACTCTCGGAGCTTGTCGACTGATTTATGTAACTGCTGTGACTAAACGCCGCCATTAAAAGCTGCATTTTAATGACTGTTGTGTAATTAATTGAACAGGGACTTCAAGAGCAAGAATGTGATGCTTCGAGATGATTTAACTGCAGTCATCGGGGACTTTGGGCTCGCCGTACGATTCGAACCAGGAAAGCCTCCTGGAGATACTCATGGCCAGGTACGCCAGCTTCATGATGGGTTTTCATGTTTCTGTTGGCTCTTTGTGGAGCTGTTAACTAATATTTCTTTAAAAAACGCATTCAGAACCTGAATTGGTTAACTGTTAATTTGTAGATCTTCGTTCTAACTTGCAGGAGCCAAGGTTAATGTTGTGCAACAAGTAATTCATGAATAAAAACTACACAATGCAGCTTATAGTCTGTTATATAGATTATCAAAAAGAAAAAAATTGTATAGGTCTTCTGGACGGGTTCTTCTCTACTGAAACGTTTCGTCTCTCCTCCAAGAGACTTCTTCAGTCTGAGAGTTTCAGGCAAAATTCAGGCTTTTAAGCACTGCCTCCATGTGACTGATACTCACATCACATGGCTATCGTTGACTCCTAATTAACATCTATTGTTAACAGGCCAGGAAGACTGCGACC